GGTACTCCCCATCAACTGAATCAGACCTACTGATTTGAGTTGGTCTGCACTTCAGCACCATGTAATCTGCTGCTAACAGACAGAAAAACATCAAGCCAACAATAAGCCCATGGATTATTTATGTATATATATATATATATATATCCTTGATACGTATGTGTGTAAAAAGGTCATTCACATCTTTATTAATAAAGGTTGACCATACAAACAATTGAATATAGAAAAGCAAAGAAGTGCTCTCAAATCTATGAATCAACTAAAATAAACAGATTATAGTGGAATAATAGTGGAATAATATTATTAGTCCTGTCAACAAATCATCATTAAAGGAAAGATAAAATGATGAAAGATATATAATAAAAAAAACAATAATATAAACGTATTAAATGTCCAGGGTGCACCTTTCGCCCATTGAATACTGGGATAGGCTCCAGTACCCCATTTGGGAATAAGTGGTTCAGAAAATGGATGGATAAATACATATCATTCTTCCATGAAAACTTCTCATATACATCTACGGATGTGGTGCTTTTTTTGTGTCAATTAGCATAAGGTATTTAATAAATTCTTTAAACTCATGCAAAAAACATATAAATTTGGGTGGAGTTTTGGAAAATTTTTATTTGTGTATGTACATTTTCTCATACAAAATGAGTAGGTTTGTAATAAAGGAAATATCATTATATCTATGACCAAAATACTTTCTTACACTTCTACAGTCAATTAAAATATTCACCACGATTGTATGTACAATATATTGTTTGAGTTTATTCCAGAAGTTGATAGATTAGGTACAGTGGAAGATAGAATAAGTTAAGGTTCTGCATCCGTATTGCATAAACTGCATTTATTTTCAATATTTAAAAATTTAGAGAATTTGTTGGGTATTTAGTTTGTAAAATTTTGATGTGAACCTCTTTTACTTTATTAGAAGTACAACACTTATACAGTCCATTCTTATGGGTATTTAGTTTGTAAAATTTTGATGTGAACCTCTTTTACTTTATTAGAAGTACAACACTTATACAGTCCATTCGTTCTTCCAGTTAATATCCATAAAGATGTTATCCCAAAATGCCCTCCTTCATGGAGTCCTCTTTTCTATGTTTGGTATTATACGTTAAATCAATTTTATCTAGTCCATTTATCATCTTAGTGCTCTCATAAGGAGATAAAGGCCATTAGGAATTGCTTTAGTTACATAATTAAATCTTTTACTCGTAACGGAAAGGACTTAAGACAAAGAAAAACGCTCATAAATAAGTATTATAATACAACAAGCAAAGAGGTCACTTACAAAATAATGTTCTTATCAATGTTCTTGTAGGGTTGCGCTGGCTGACACAACTCTGCAATATCCCGTCGACATCAGGGGCAGTTCTGCTGGATTGGCAGACTGGGGTAGTGGCCCCCACCTTTGAAAAGAGGGACCATAGATTGTGTTCGAACTACAGGGGAATCACACTTTTAGGCGTCCCTGGGAAGGTTATTCAGCTGTTTTCGAGAGGAAGGTCTGTTGGATACTCAAACCTCAGACTCAGGAAGAGCAGTGTGGTTTTCGTCCTGGCCATGGAACGCTGGACAAGCTATATACCCTCAGCAGGATCCTGGAGGGTGCATGTGAGTTTGCCCAACCAGTCCACATGTGTTTTGTGGACGTGGATAAGGCGTTCGACTGTGTCCCAAGGGGGAATCCTGTGGGGGTGCTCTGGGAGTATGGGATACTAGGCCCTTTGTTACGGGCTGTTACGTCTCTGTACGACTGGAGTCAGAGCTTGGTTCACATCGCCAGTAGTAAGTTGGACTCATTTCTGGTGAGAGTTGGATTCTGCCAAAGTTGCCCTTTGTCTCCGATTCTGTTCATAACTTTTATCGACAGAATTTCTTGGCGCAGCCGAGGTGTTGAAGGTGTTCGTCCTGGTGGCCTTAAGATTGCATCTCTCCTTTTTGCAGATGATGTAGTGCTATTGACTTCATTGAGTCGTTATCTACAGCTCTCGCTGGAGTGGTTTGCTGCAGAGTGTGAGTGTAAGATGAGGATCAGTGCCTCCAATCCGAGACTATACTCTCACACCGGAAAAGGAGTACCTCCTCCAGGTCGGGGGGTTATATCCTTCCCCAAGTGAAGGACTTCAAGTATCTCGGGGTCTTGTTCATGAATGGGGATAAAATGGAGTGGGAGATCGACAGGAGGATCGGTGCGGCGTCGGCAGTGATGTGGGCACTGTACTGGTCAGTCGTGATGAAGAGAGAGCTGATTTTAAAAGCGAAGCGCTCGATTGATTGATCGATCTACGTTGCTACCCTAATCTATGCTCAAGAACTTTGGTTAGTGACCGAAAGAACGAGATCATGGATACAAGCGGCTGAAAGGGTTTCCCCCTCTGTGTGGCTGGGCTCTCCGTTAGAGATAGGGTGAGAAGCTCAGTCATCCGGGAGGGGCTCACTGCTCCCTAGTTGAGAGAAACCAGTTGAGGTGGCTCGGGCATCTGATTAGGATGCCTCCTGGATCCCTGGTGAGGTGTTCTGGGCACGTCCCACCGGGAGGACGCCAAGAGGAAGACCCAGGACACACTGGAGGGACTATGTCTCTCGGCTGGCCTGGGAACACCTCGGGATCCCCTTGGAGGAGCTGAAGTGGCAGGGGAGAAGGAATTCTGGGTTCCCCTGCTTCGGCTTCTGCCCCCGCGACAATGGATGATTGGATGGATGGATAACTGGAATGCTTTGAGCAACACATTTGTCTAAAAATCTGACAACTGGTTTGTAAACAATCTTTCTTTTCAATTTTTCCCACTAATGGGAAAAAAGATAAAACATTAAGCTCCAAAGCAGGAGAGATAGGGACAAACCTATGTATGCCTCAAAAAACCTCTTTCAGTCATTGGAGATTCTCTTTCGTTCAATGATCACATCTGGTCCATGCATGCAGTCTTTTTCACATCTTTGCAAGCTTTTTCCACCAGTGGCCGAAGTTTCATTCAGCATTGTCATATTTTTATTTCAAACATTTTTTTTTTTTACTGTTCACACAGAATTATGATAAAAATTCTTCCAACTGAATGAGGAATTAAACGGTGTGAGTTGTGTAGAGAGTGGGGACAGAGGATACTCTGATGAGTTTATCGAGGAAAACTTGCTCCCGACCAGGTTAGTTCTAGGGATAATGTTGTTACGGCAACAGACACAGAGGTGAAGTAATCTCTCCTCGTGAAACGGAAAACTCAGAGTTTCTGTCATTTCAGAGTTTTCATAAAATGGAACCCTGTTTTCTTAGATTTTCTGTGGATTCATTGGTGGATTCTGGAACTTGAAAAGTTTCAGGTTCCAATGTCAGTTGTGTAACGCTCAACTTCTTCAATTTTTCCATCCTGTTCACAGAGCGGGCGACACTTGCATTTTGTCATTGTCTTCACCATGTGTTCGATACCTTCAATCGTTTCTTCTATAGCCACAATCTCTTCAGTGTTTTGGTTCATCTTTTGTTAGAGAGATGTGAAACTCGACGTTCATAGTTTGACAGCTTTAGTATGTCTGCTTTGATAACTCATTTTTATCTCTTGAGCATGTTTTCTTGGGGCTGGGGCTTGGAAGAGGAGTATCAGGGGAAAGGAGAGCATAAGTTGAGCTGAGAATCATCATCATTCCATTCCATAAATATGTCCCCTTTTTGTTATGTTGTTGTCTTAGCATTTGGATAGTTAGCCTGTTAGCGTAAGCTCAAAGAAGAGGGGGAAAAAGTCTGTGTATCCTCCTGAATTTTTTAGAAGTCACATACCAGTTCTTGAAAGTTATGCTCCATTAAGTTTACCTTATTTCATAGAGCAAATGGTGCTTAGGAGTTTGCAGCGAAGCACGTGTGCCTCAAACTTTCCTTCAAACTGGAATGGCTCGGCATACAAGTGACCTTAAAGGTTTTTTTTGTTTATTGTAAACAAAAAAGCCACAAACAGTCTGTAAGAAAGACTTTTTCCCATTTGTCAACAATATTTACAGCTTTAAACGTGTGCTATTCATTCACAAAAGTTCAAATGAGGAAAAATGTTTTTTCGTCTCGCACTAGTTTCACATTTAAGAACATTTTGGGGGCTAATAAAAAACAGAGAAAAACTAAGGGTTTTCATTGGCTGCGCTCTCTTTACTGTAATACATTTTCAGTAGTAGGAACTGGAATTACTATAGAATTCTGTTTTCTATCAACATACGTGTATTACAGTCGTTTAATCTGCCCCACACGCTATATATTTATTTAGATTAATGTTTGATATTTCACCGTCCATCCATCTCTCTCAGGTTATGGCCATTTTTAAGTATTTTACTGGTTATATTTGACCGGCTTCAGATGTAAAAATAAATAATTCAGCTTCAAGGAGGCTGCAGACAAACATGGAGACAGTTGTTTATTTTTACAATTTCTTTTTGTCAGATTTCTTGTGTTTAGATTAGAAATGACCACTTTATCTACTGCATTCATTAATAATTGATCTACGATTATTAGCTTTTGCCATATCATACAGCATTACAGACAGCCTTTAAACAATTTTTTTTTGCTACATTTACATTCAGAGATATATTAGAAAAGGCCCCTTCACCGTCTGCTGGACAATATTCAAAGTTATTGTGCGTATGTATGTATATATATATATGTCTGTATACATATATTCGAAACACACACACATCCATTTGTACAGATAATAAATATCCTGTATACAGTATGTCACATTGTTGTGAGTGTGCAGATGAAATTCAGTTCAGGATGTTTTGAACCTGCTCAGCTCCTTGAAGGCAGACAGAATATATTGCTTTGTGTCTTATTGATATTTTCCCAGTGAAGTGAAGTCTCCCCTCTCTGAAGCCAGGACCGGGCTCGTGCAGCCGGGGGGTGTCGTCCTCTTCAATATTGCTTACACTGATGCTGCTGTGCAGAAACCCGGGATGGCAGCCCCTCGGGATGTGGCTCAACGAGAGGGGAGGGGTCCGGTCTCTGTGCGCTTTGGGGGTCAGAACAGGTCCTGAGGGCCCAGATGGATGATTATAGGTGTGGCTACGGTCTGCGGCTGGTAATAAGCACTGTCAATGTACAGGCCACCTACAGACAAGAGGACACGAGTAACCAGAGTTAACACTAATGAGCATCTGTCCATGTGGATGTGCAGACTCAAGTGGTTTTAGTTAATCATTCTCACATTATGTCTAATTCAAGTGTTGCTGGACAAATTCATATATACAGATTATTTTGGCTGCTGGAGAGAGGTGTGTTTTGTTTTTTGTTTTTTTATCCTTCTAGTTTAAGTTTAAGAAGAGCTGCTAAGAAGCCATTACAGAGTCCATGTGGCATTAAGGAAATTCAAAGACTGATCACACAAAAGTTTAATCCAGTGCAAGTCTGTGGGAACATATGGAAACTCAGTGGGACTTAATAACAAGAGAAACTGTCAGTAAGGAGAGAAAAACAACCAGCGGAAGAATAGAAGCTGTAATCAAGAGCAGAGAGATTTAAGCCGATTCTGAGAGGAAAAGAAGCCTTTAGCTGATTTTTTTTAGATTTAATACATAAATAACTAAGTTTAAAAACAGATTTTTTAAAGATTTCTTTGAATCTTTTCTTGTTTTTCTAACAGGTAGCCTGATAAATCTGTTTAAAACTGTGTATGTCAGTGCTAAAAAACTGGAATAGGAAACATGTCAGAGTCCATAACATATTTATAGACTTCTTTTGCCCCCAGAAGCTGTGATCTGGTAGAAAAAGTAACATTAGGAGGAAAATGGAAGGTGGCTTCCATCTTTAGGGGGAAACGAGATATCACAGCAGCTGAATCGTAACACTTTCAGTTGTTTCCGCTCAACACTTCTTCTTCTCATCTTAATAAATGTTCTCTTTCTAGTTCTTGCTATGTATATATAATGTATATCTACTATAAACTTGAATAAATACAACAAAGGAGCTCACTGTACTAAAGATATGACAAATCGTACTGAAAAAAAAGTAAGAAACATAAGACTGAAACACGACCAACTTTGACAAAAATATTCATTTATTCAAAAAGAAAAGAGAAAAAGGAGTTTAAACTCAACACAAAGTGGCTCAGACCAAAGAGAACATGTAAACACTGGACATCAAACAAAAGGAAGAAGGCTCCTCAGTGATTCAGTCCACCACTAAATGATATATGGAGGAAACATTGTGCACGAGAGATTGTTAAAGGAATAATCCTCCTGACAGAGATGTGCTTTGCTTCTCAGTCACTTCTTTCTCGGTTTAGTTTGTCCTGTAGGATCCTCCTGTAGGGGGGTTCCCTTCCTTTTTTAGGGTCTTCTTTAATGTAAATACAACTCCATCAGGTCACGTTATTTATTGATTCCCCATGCACAGGAAGTCATACAGATGTGCGTTTAATTTAAAACAGGATTTTAAGCAAAGAATCGTCTCCACACATCGCTCAGCAGGCTCAGTGCAGGTTTGTTAGGATTTTCCTTTAACAAGCGCTCTCCTGGGGGGGGGGGGGGGGTAATCCTAATAGGGGTAGAGGTGGCTGACGGGGTAAGCTGTTGGGACTCTGATGACAGGGACAACTACTGAGGACAATCTGGAGGGAAAACCTGAGGAAGAGCCAAGAAAACAAACTCAAACGTTGGAATGAGGTGACAAACAGACAGAGTTACCCATTAGGACATTTACCGTAAGCAGGGAGGGAGCCTGCAGGGCTGTAGCCGTAAGGAGCACCAAAACCTGCAAACGAGGGAGAGACACTGTGTGATGAAGATCTTAAGCAACAAGCAACCCACTCAGAAGACGGCCAAGCGTTGGCTGAGTTGGGTGGGATCACTACCTGAACATACTCGGCTCTGCTTGACCCAAACCAGAAGCCCTCCTTCAGATTCTACCCATGAAACCACTAACTCAATCAGAGCCGAAGGGCACACACCTTAAGAGAGCTCAACTTTAGGTGAACTGGACCAAATATCCTGCAAACAGGCTTTAGGATCTAATCCTTCTCCAAGCCTACACATGTGGACCCAGAGCCACAACCTCTCGCTGTCCCTGACAGGTGCAGTCCATAGTCTTGAAACATTTTTGTCCCAACTTGGCTTGCTCGGACCCCCGGCTGGTACCAGGTGCAAATAAGAGCTGCTCCCTGATGGAAAACTACAAGAATCAAGTCTCTCTGATTAGAAACAAGAAGGCCTGAACCCTTAACTTCAGCTGACTGATGCCCCTCCCCCTTAAACACCTACTGGCTGGTGCCCCTCCCCCTTAAACACCAGGTAACTGGTGCTCCTCCACCTTAAACACCAGGTAACTGGTGCCCCTCCCCCTTAAACACCAAGTAACTAGTGCCCCTCCGCCTTAAACCCCACCCTGATAGTACACGTCCCCCTTAAAAACCACCTTGCTGGTGCCCCTCCCCCTTAAACACCAGGTAACTGGTGCCCCTCCATGTTAGACCCCAGCTCAGTCTTTTTTTCCCTCCAGCCGAGCTGGTTTTCCAGGTGGGGATTGTCTCTGGTGTCTCACCTGGAGGGATGTAGCCATGTGTGGGGGGGGCGCTGATGTATGGAGCCCTGGGTATGACCGGGACGCGTGGTGGTCTGGCAGCGAGGGTCGGGATGGTCAGCACCGAGGACACTGGCCGCTTTGGCTGCACAGACACACGTATTAGATTGAGGTGTGAGGGAATGCGGGAGACAGGTGTCCAGCTGAGCACTTACTGGGGGGTTTGGACGCTTTTTCTTGTTGCTCGTCGACTTGGAGCCAGAAAAGAGGCTGTTCAGAGCGGCGAGCGCGGCACTGGCCTTTGCAACCTTCTTATTGGGCCCCGTCCCCCGGAACACCTGTTTGTCCACCTCCACCTGTCAGACAAAGGTGAGGCAGAGCGACAAAAAGACATTTTCACAATCCAGTCTGTAGAATACATAACATATTTAGCAAGTGATTTCGGGGCGTTCCTTCTTCTTACACCTTTATTTTAGGCTCATAACAGCCAGAAACAATCAGTCATTTCAGACAACAGATGCAAACAATCATTACCCTGGATGTCCCATTCAGATGTATTTCTCTCAAAATGTAGAAACAATATTTGTCTCAAAATGAATTTAAACGTTTGAGCGTTCATCAGAAGTGAAAGGATCCTTAAAGCTGAGAGTTCCCACAGTGGGTCAGAAACTGGAAGAAACCATGAACCAACAAGTGTACGTTATCTGTGCAGAGATTGGTGCTGCTGGAGTGAAGCAGTGCAAAATTTCAGAGGTTTCTGTTCAGTTAGAGCTCTCACACATTGCGATTCCAGTTGGAAACGCTGAGATTTCTGATCTGTTCAAACACACATGATTCACCTTAATCTGGCCTCAAAGCCACTGATCAGTTGCGGTTTTGTTTGGTTTAAATCAGTTTTGGACGCAAGACAGCAAAAGTAAAGCAGGGTGTCAGAGGATTCTCCAGGAACATGAAGCATAACTTGGATCTTCTCTTGCTGCTGTAGTGAATATTGGTGCTGTTTGCTGTTTTTGAATTTCCAGGAACTCTATTTTTACCAGGCGAGACAGACCTCCGAATCATGTAAAATCAGATCAAAAGAAAAGTGTCTGTTGATAACTTTTCACCTTTCTCTCTCTATGTGATGCTGCTCTGCTCATTGAAAATGTCTCCTGCCTGACCCTTTGACTTGAACCTTAAAAGGAGGAAAACAGATTGACTACACAACACTATATTTGTTCTGGTTTTCAGATACCAAATGTTAACACCTTGATTTCAGGCTTCCAAGGAAATTTCACAGTATCTAGTAACACGTGGATCCATTCTTTTAAGAAATAACCAACTCCCAGTTCAGCTGTTTATATAATTATCGCTGCTATTTGAAGTAGTTTTGAAATGCAGGAAGCAGCAAGTGTCTGAACATTAAACACTTTTATCCATTTTTAATAAGCCCCAGTGAAAAGAGGGCAGGAAAGGGTTGTGAGAGGATTTGTACCTCTATGATAAAGCGTTTGTCGTAGCTGCTTCCGCTCTCTGAGATCAGCTCGTACTTGAGTCCACGGCGCTTTTCGTTCAGCTCCATCACCGGGTTTTTCCCCCCCGCCGTCAGGATCGGACCCAGAGCCCTGGACTGTTGACAGACAAGAAGGGAAAAAGAAGCTGTTTAATATCGGAAGGGACCTTTTTGAAAAGTGTAACTCAACAATCATCTGATTATCTGCTATCTGGTATGTTTAAGTCCCACTTTGTTTGAAAATTCATCATTTAATGAGCCGCTCTGACTACTTAACTGGGCCCCGTCTCCTCCGCAAAGCCCCGCCCACTCACATCCACCCTGCTGGAGCAATGAAGCCAGCATCTGCTGTCAGCTGCACTGAAGAGCATGCCAGCATCCAGCGGCAGACTCAGAGGATATCGGAGCTGAGTGGGTAAACTGTATCGGAGGGGAAAGTTCTTCTCCTCAAGAGCAGCTACCTACATCTATAAAAAGTGTGTTTTTTGGTTTGACTTGATGCGTCACGATGCGTACAGTAACAAGCAGGTTTAGATTAGGTAATTCAAAGCTGAAGTCAGCTTTATTGTCAATTCTGTAATACATACTCAGACATATTCAGACCTAAAACTTTTGTATTCTCATGCTCCCAGACAACACACTAAAAATTGAAAGAAAAGTAAGTCTTAACATTAGAAAAATAAGAGCATAAATATAAACTATAGAATATAAAATATATGCTCATGTGCAAAAAAAAGATAAAAATAATATAATAAAAATAACAGAATGTGGATGCCGTGCGATGTAAAAAAAACGGAGCAGTATGTAAATATAGCTCATAAGTGTAAAAATAACTTATAATTGGTTAGTGCATGATGCTTAGACAGTAAACTATAAGTAGTAGTAAGTAGCTTCTAACTGGTACGGTGTAATTCAAACTAGTGACAGCTAGCCTTGAATTCAGCATCTTAATCTGATGGTCAGTGAAGTATGCCACTCGTCATCAGAGGATGAAACTGTGCTGTAAATGTTTCCCACCTCCTGTGGCTCAGAAGAGGAGGTGATGGACGTGGAGCTAGAGCTGGTGGACATCCTGTCGTTCTTTCCTTCACCATCTGATTTCTCGTCGGCACTCAGAGAGTCAACGTCTCCGTCGCAGGTGAGAGCAAAGCCCAGAGCCTGCAGTGCCTGAAGGCAACAACAAAACAACAAACCAGTCCAGCCGTGGTTAATTCAGTTTTAAATGCGCCCAGGACACTGAATGCATCTCAATGAAAACGGGTGAATAAATGTCAGACTGGATGAGCTGAAGGTCAAAAGAGCTTTTGTTCTCTTATGTCTCAGGATTTAAACTACAATGACTGCACTGGGAGGCTGTTCACTTTGTTTTTTACCCTTTCAGCCATGTTTGCTTCTCCCTCTGATATGATGCATCTTATGTGGACCAAACAAAATCTATAACAATAAGAAACTAATATTTTGGTGTCTCCAATTCGTCTCTGTACACCCTGAACATACTTTCAGGGCGACTTGGAGCTTTGCTGTTCTTTTTGAGTTCCCGGTGGCCTGATATGTGGTTCCCTGGACCTCCACAGACATGGTGAAGACTGGGGCGTGGACGGGGCCCGACTGGGACAGCAGGCGGTACTGAAGGCCTGGATGGATCTGGTTCAGACGCATAAGGGCATTCATGGGGTGATTTGGATCGGTCATCCTCCAGTCCAGGACTAAAAGGAAGTAAGAAGCACAAGTCAGCTGGATGTAGAAACCAAAACTAAATTTCCTGATTTAGGTTATAATCTAAATATCAGATGTTTAAACACCTTATTCTTTGGATGTTTTCTGCTGTTTCTCTCATTTTTGGCTGCAGCTTAATGTGTTTTTCTTTGTTACGCCAGGAAACAGGATTTTTGAAGGCAGCAACAAGTTTATTCCTAAAAAGCTGCTAACCGAGTTCTGAATTATTCAGGCAGAAAAATAGGCCCCTAATTCAAGGGATGAGCCAGCATTGTGTCCAATTCAGCAAAGCAGCAGTTTAAAGTGGATCTTAAGGGTCTTTGATCCCAGCAGCCTATCACAAAGACACATCATTTGTTCCCATTTCTTTAGCTGATGTGTTAAAAATGCTATGAGAACACAGTTTGACAAAACCGGAGGAAACAGGAGGAGGATTTCTGACGATTCCCAAAGAGCTGCTAGCTGAAAACCATCCCAGCATGAAAAATATCTCAGCATGGTGTTCAGTGAGTCCAACATTGGAGGAAACTGGGTAAGTGGAGGAAGAATTGGGCTTAAAAAAATATCTCCAGCAGATAAAAATGATCTGAAAACTAAAACACAAGTGAAAGAAGAGCTCTTCTTAATCACTCTGTCTTCTGTGAGTCAGTTCACTGCATCTGCTATGTGACACAGGATATGACCAGAAGGTCTCCGTTCACTCGAGTCCAGGACCCCCAGGAGTTTAAAACCCAGACTGTGAAACGGTGATGACGTGTGAACTCTTCTCACCTACAGGCAGACAGCAGGTGATGAGTCCTGAGCAGAAAGATGAGGGAGTGAAAGCCAACACCTATCCTAACCGAACTGCTCACTGGGACATTTTTACTCGCCCCAATGCAGTTTAGACCTGAAGCAGCCTTTAGGAGGACAGCAGAAACATCGTCAAGATCCAAGAAGAAGACGTCCAGTCTCCTTCATTTAAGATTTGAGAATCTGCCCACCAGACCATAATCTCACCAAAAATGATATTGCATTTTTGTTCACGAGGCACCAAAAAACAACAAACTTCAAAGATGCAATCAAAGTATAATTTTTGTGCTGTGACCCGATCTTTGGCCGGCAGCTTCTCTGTGATGATACCTGAGGTGTGAAGAGAGTCTCAGACAAGATGGAGGTGCTGATGGGCTGCTGTTGAGAGGTGGGGGTTAACCCACTGTGTATGTGGTAGGAGCCTGCAGTATTAATTCCACTACATCTCTGCCGTCACCCCCTTTGAACTGGTAGCAAATGAGAGTCGCCGGGTCGATTGTCCCAGCGAGGGACTGTTTACAGACAGCAGACATCAGTCTTTCGTTGTTGTTTTTCATATTCTTTTTTGCCATTTTCACTCTTCATTGTTTGCTTTTTTGTTGTACAAAAAAGCAAACAATTATTTTCTATAATTTTTCTGACATCAGCTCTGTCTATTTTTTCTCTTGTGAGCTGCCTGCACAGCTCACGGGAGTTTCCCACAATGGAATCTATAAAGAATATATAAAGTTGATCAAAGATCTTATTTTTTCAGGTTTGAGTGATTCTTTTGAGAAGTGCAAGGAATTGTTTTCTTCTTAATTCTTATCACATCCAAGCTCTGAATGAGCAGCTCCATTATAGCTGGATGTTTCCCAGCAGAGGTGTAATTTGAATTCAGATCCATTTAATTTGATTTTGGCTTCGGACTGCATTACATTGAACTGGACTAAACATAAATTCTTCTTTTACTGGTTGAGAGCTGGTTTCAGGGGTAGTTCTGACACAGGTTTTTTCTTTTCTCTGAACCTGAAAACAGCATTTGATCAGCTGAAAATGAATCATACCTACGAGGAAGCAGAAGTAATAGTCAAACTGATGGTGTGGCTTTAACCCTTTAACCCATATGGCCCCACATTTTTTGGCAGCACGCATTGAGAAGATGGCATGGAGTGTCTGCATGAACTGTGGATGTTTAATCCCACGCTGCCTCATTGCTCTGAGGAAATCTGATAACTTAACTCAATTTTCTGCTTCAAAGACACAATTCACCAGAGGCCACCATCTTCTTTGTCAGGCCGCTGGGTGATGCGGCAACTGATGCCGTGAGGAGATATGATTGGGATGAGTTGGTGCCACTAAACTGAATCAGATACGATCTGAGAGGATATCAAACTCTGAGTTTCACATGCTCTACAATAGATCACATCCAGGTTATTTTCTGCCCTCTGACGCTCACAAACTAACACACTGCGGATTGTCTGGAGATTTCTAAGAAAAGCTTTACCTCTTTCAGCTCCACTGACTCACATCTCCACCTTTTACACAAAGCCCTCTGAACAGCACCTTGTTTACAGTCAGATAGTGTTCACAGTAGTACGCACACTTTGCTTTAGAGCCTTCTCTGTCTTGACAAAGTCCTCAATCAATATCCACTTAGTTGATGTTAAGAGAAACCAGGTTGTTTCAGTCTGTGTCCGTTTCTGATGTTTGACAGACATCATTATGACTTTATATTTGATATTGGACCGAATTCTAATTACATGAAAATGGCTTTAACCTTCCCTTTGCCCCATTTTCTTTTGTTTACAGGGAAACAGGTGTCAACAGAATATGAAATGCTGGTATTTTAAATGGTTTCCATGGTTAACTTTCCTTGTGTTTATAGTTTTTTCTATATTTACCTTTTAGATTAGCTTTATCTTATCCCAGCTTTAGCCTACCTCAGTGCTCCATAGTATTTTGTCTTTTATGTTTGAACTTTGATTTTAACATTTTTATGAATTGTTTAATGTAGTATCATGGTAACTGTTCCTTTATTTAATCCTTGCTTTGCTTTAACAGCAGGTCTGAGGGCTTTCCGTGCTGTTTCTATTGCTTCTCCCAGCACAATACACAAATGGACGTATAAATATTGATTGAAACAGAGCTTGGTGTTAGCAGACATAAGTGGGTAAATACTAATACATTGCAAGTGTCTGCTGACATTATTGCTTTAAACACCTGTATATTTGTCAGATCATTCACAGAGGAGGGAACCAGATTTAGGTTTGGGATCCTAAGGATTCGTGACACCTCACAGAGAAGCGGGCGGTAATCGTCAGGAAATCCATCAGAAGCACTGGGGAAAGTTCCCTTTAGATCTCCCAACCAAAGATTTCAGCAGGATTCTTTTAGTTAAAAACAAGAATCAAACTGTGTATCGTTGAATTTGGGATGGGAGTGAAAATTAGGAATATTGTAGAATGAGAACAACTCGTGATTCCTGAGTGTTCTGTGAGCATCAGTCAGCCTGATGTACGACTTCCTGTTCAGTGGAGAAGCTGAAACCAGCGTGCTCCTGACAAAAATCACCTTTCATCCTTTTGATAAGGTCTCTGTCATCTGACCCCACGTCCTCCCGGAGCCTCTTCTGACAGCCGCCTGCAGACAGAAACAAACCGAGGGATCGCTTAATGTCACACACGCCATCATCTAAACATGTTATTTTCTAAATTGCTTCAATCTTTTCTGGATGTAGCTGAACAGATGAGTTACAGAAGGGTAAAAAAACATAGCAGGAGCTAAAAACAGGAGAGTAAATGTACACATGGATGCACACCCACCTTCTAATAGCCTCGCAGAAGGCTTGTTGGCAGGCAGAGGATCCATATTCAGCACCTTGTAAAGTTGTCCAAATGCCAGGAGACGTAATGCATGCTGAAACAAACAGCAGACGGAGGAAGGTGGCAGAAAAAAAAAACAGAGACATAAACTACATTATAGCGCCCGGTTGATCTCAGATCAATACGCTCTAATTATCTGGGAAAGTTGTGGAAGCAGCTCGCCGTTTCTGTTTGGGAGAGACTTCAGGTGCTCGTACAGAAAGCCACAAAAAACTAAAATTATTCCCAGAATTCGGTTTTATGGAGTGAGGGGAATGGAGAAAAGAGGAAGACTCTGAGGATGTGGCCCGGAGGCGGCCTTTGTTGTGCGAGCGCTGTAGGAGCAGTGGGACCATTAGCAGCCGCCACCACATCACACCGGCTGCGTGGGGGGGCGCCTGTTCCCACGCTGGCTGATGGCTAATTAACCAGTTTGTCCATCTGAGGTCAGAGTCCAGCTCTCTGTGGATATTCACATTTCAAAGTGCTTACGTGAGCTTGTGGGACTTCACCAGGACTCATATTAAATAACTGGAGCAGGAAGGGTGTTTCTTGTCTTGTGTCCTTGAGAAATGCTGATTTTGGTGCAGCGCACTGAATGAAGCACACCCTTTTTTACCCCCTCGAGACGACTAATGACTACAATCTGTTAAGTGAGAGTCTGTTTCTGCTTTTACTGCAAGAAAACAGGAAGGAAGTTTTACGTGCTCAGCGGGGCGGATGTAAAGACAACATCTTTAAAGTTATAGATGCTAAACATAAAACGCCTGTTTAAATGAAACCCGTCAGAGGTTCTGCTTCAGAGCAACAGAGACGTTTGGCCTTTAAATTATTCAAAGCATAGATTTTTCTGATCCTTACTCAAAGATAGGCAGCTTTTATTCACTTGTGTGCCGAATGACTTCAGAACCTCTGGGACCAGCTGTGGTGCGGAGGTGAGCCACACCGGACCCGTTAATGGAGGCTTTTGGAGGCTTTTACAGCTAAGTTTACAGGACAAGGGTGGTGGATATTTCTCTGATTACTTCAAAAGTTTACATCAAAATGCGTTCAAACCTGAGAGGGAAAAGGTATTTTCTGTTCAGAGCTTTTTCACCTAAGAGGTTAATTAATGTTTTTAGTGGGGATTTTATTATAGCAGAGCAACAGCTGTAAAATGAGTTAATTCATTTTTAGTCAAACTGTGAGACAAAAATATCTATACTCCAGTCTGCCCCGGCGGCCCTACGATGGACCTGTCCGGGTTGTACCCCGCCTCTCGCCCGTTGTCAGCTGGGATATGCTCCAGCCCCAAGACAAAGCCAAAGACAGAAAGTGTCCTCAGTGTGCTCATAATGCTTTAGAGTCTATTGGAGCCGATACGCCGGGAGGACAGGAGCTGATGGAGGAGCCTAGGCAAAGTCCATGTGGGATTCAGGTGATTCAAAGACCGATCACACAAAAGTTTCACCCAGAAAAGGTCTGTGGGAACAGCTGGAAACTCTGTGGTCCATGATCTAGCTCATTTCAATAACCGTTAATAAGTTTGTCTGCATCTTTTGGGTTTACCTGCTGTTTGATTGTTTTTATTTCAAACAGTTTGGTGGTTGCAGGAATGTTTTCTTGAGCTTTTAGCGGATAAACAGACAATTCTGTTGATGCTACATGTGTCTTTATATGGTACTGGAGCCTCTGTGGGAGAGCAGAAACTAAACTGAGGTTTTCATCACAGGTTATGCGCCATGGACTAACCTGTGCATAGTGTGTGAGGGCTTCCGCCTGCTGGGCGCTGAGGTCTGACAGGACGTCTGTTGCTTCCCTCTCGCAGGGGTCGTGAACTCCAGGACCTCCTGTGAAGAAAAGCTGAGTCAGCATTCCAAGAACACTCAGACCCACGCGGATGGAAGGAGCTTCCCGCTTTCGGCAGTCTCTTTGCATGTTGTCCGTTTCTGTGAAGCATTTTGTTACTGCAGGGTGCTAAACAAGCTAATCGCATAGCTTCTGAATTCAGCAAACACTCATCAATGATTCAGCGATGTAAGAAAACCTCTGGCCAACATAAAAAATCACATCACATCACATCATTGCAAAGAGCAACACATTGCTTCTCTCAGGTCAAACTGCTAAAGGTTTCACAGGCTAAAACAGGCTTTAAAGAAGAAACACTTCTGTTTATCAAAGCTAAAGAGGTACATGTTCTCTACCCACTCTGTGGGAAAATGTTCACATGTTTAAGAGCATTTGCGAGACCTGACTAAAGAGCAGCCTTTAGTCAGCAAACAAATCAAATACAGACATCAATTACGCTGGCTACTGCTTACTGAGTTAACCTTCCCATGTATCTTTATTTAAGAAAGAATAGAAGAGCAGGACAAAGTTGGAAACAAGAAACATACCACTTAGCAATGAGAATACTTTTGTCTCACCATCATGATTAAATAAAGACCACACCAATTTCCCCCCATGAAGCAAGCTAAACTAAAATAAAACTAAAAAAGCTTTAGGATAAAAGGTGAAATGTCTCCAAAATCCAAGAAGGAAGAACCAACACATCACACAATGCTTCTGGATGTCTCAGAGGAGACCAAAGAGATGCGGGTGCAGAAGGAAAAACAAACAGAAACTCGTCTCAGTTCTGTTTTGTGTGGTGAAAATTAACCTGCAGCTATTCAGGGTGGAATCTGGGCAGAGCAGGAGCAACATGTTTGTTTTCCAGGAGACCAACATCCACGTTTAGAGATCCTGTGCTGCTTTAAAGGGCTCCTAGGAGCTTCTGCTTTAATTTCAGTGTCAAAATTTAATTCGATTTCACTGCTCTCAGCAGTGGGTAGGATTAATGAATTCAGTCGCCACAACTCAACCAATAATGTCTCAAACGAATAAATGAATTCAGACTAAATTAAATGAATCACTCTCCAAATAAAAACAGTTTGATTAAACATAAGCTACACTGTTTGTGTACATCATCAACACATAAGAAACACGGCATCATTTTCTTCTGATTCAGTGTTTCAAATAAAAGAAAACCAATTTTATTTCCTTGCTAAATAACTCTCGAAGAGAACCAGCAATGTTTACCAACAGAGTCTTTGCTATCAGTATTTATGTTTCAAACTGAGGCTGACTTCAGCTGCTGTCAGATTAAACCACGACTGTGAAAGAGCCGCTCCAGATGGCTCCGAGCAGCAGCAGTCTCTGTACACCCAAAGGACACATTGATCACACTAACTGCCTCACTGTTTCATAGACGGCAACTTTTAGAGGTTTTCTTTCCGCATCAGTCCCACAAAAATAAATGCAGATATCAAATCTTTATATGTTATATGCATTTTTATGTGGATCGGAATTCTCTGCAAAAACTAAAGGGGGAGGAAACTTGTTGTTTGTCCAATTCTAAAAGTCAGTTTTTGTTTTAAGGTCCTTTCTCCTCCATCTCTGAGTCATCTCCGAGTCATCTTCAAGCAGCTGTCTGTCCTTCTTTTAAGGAGTCTTCAGGAGCAGCTCTGCCTTTGGCTCCGTTCTCTGTAAGATGATCCCACACTGCTTCACAATGTGGAGCTCCAGGCTCTGGGGAGAATTTATTCCTCCATCAGAGCTGCTGCCACTGATTTTCAGTCCACCTTTGGTGGAGCTCAGCCTTTCCTCCCTGTTCCCTTTCCTTCAGAATGGCTTCTTGACAGCCCACCTTCCATGGAGAGCATTTCTGATGAGGCTTGGTCCAACAGGAGATGATCAGCTGAAGGTCCAGATGCATCTCTCAGCTCCTGGTTCAGGTCTTGGATTTGCTGGATTTGTTCTTCTCTCTTAAGGACATCACTTTCAGATCCTTTTCATCTGCTGGAGGTAGCTTTTTTAGGCCCAACTCTTTTTCTTTTCTCCTCCACTTGTACAGTTTCCTCAAATGTTTTAAGGAAACACTGCCCACCATGTTGAGATATGCCAAGTTTTCAGCTAGCAGCTCTTTGGGAATCCTCAGAAATCCAGCTAAAGAAATGGAAACCAATAATGTGTCTCTGTGACAGACTGCTGCTAGCAAAGAGCTCATCCCTTGAGTTAGGAGCATTATTCTGCTTGATTGATTTAGAGCTCAGAGTTAAGCAGCTTAAAGAAAAACACATTCCATGGGAATGAAAAAGTGTCAAAAGCAGAACATTTTCAAAGAAAACCCCATTTAAAAGATTAAAGAAAATATACACACAAGTCATTGACTAAAGCAACTGTAGCAGAGCAGGAAAACAGCTGTTGTGCACGGGCGCATTAAGTAAAATTAATCATTTATAAAAACGTCCCTTTTGAGCACATTAGATTTTATACAGTCAACTTCCATTGAGGTCAGAAACATCAAACAGGCCCTGAATTACCTCCTGCTCTTCCGATCTGAACTGACCTGGGAGGATGACCCCTGAGGCGATGCACTCCATAACGCGACGCAGGCCTTCGCCGGGGCCCAGCGGCCGGTTACAGGTGGCTATGGCCTTCTCACAGATCAGCTCCAGGGGCTGCAGAGGACAGATGCATGGCAGAAAGTTTGTACTTTTAAGTTTTTACTGTGGGGCGCTCCTGTATCTGATGTGGCCACTCACCCATCCTTTGAGGGGCTGCCACACAGGCAGGCGGTTGCACACGTCTCTAAGAATCCTCAGAACGATGACACAGGACTTGAGGTCTGCGACTCTGGCCTGAGGGGACATACGGACAGCATGAGGAGCATTTCAACCAGCCTTTCACTGAGCATTTCACTGCCCCTTGAATGTCAACATGCCACCAACGCCACGGAGGGATGGTGAATTGACTTAAACCATCAGATCCAGGCTGGAATAGATGTCGTAATGCAAGACAAGCATCTTCCCATCAAAATCAACTTTAAATTATCTCAAAATTCAGGTATCATTTTATTTTTTTATTCCTTCTTTTTCTAATTTTTCACAAAAAAATAATTTGCAAATCTTTTAGTGCTTTTTCAATTTATAAATTACTCCCCAAAAAGACTTTAAAGATCATATGCGTTCATGGTTTTCACTTTTAAAAACTACTTCAGTATGAAACCACTGAAAAATGTTAATTATATTTTTGTGGAATTTAACACACTGTTTCCCTAATTTTAAAAATTAAACCTAAATCATTCCCCTAAAATATATTCTAGTTCATATTTCATTATTATTCCTAAAAATTCCTAAGAGGGGTCAGTTTCCAGCAGCAGCTCTAAATTTCCTCTATTTTTATTGCAAAAAAACAGCAAAGAGCAAAATGTTGCGACAAACTTTGATAGCAAGTAGTAGCTCTCCCTGTGGACAAAAAGCTATTATACCAAAATTAAATCTAAACATAAAGGGATGCATTTTGTCTGCCATTTTAGGCTCATTTAAAGAGCCATTTCAAAGAACAGATGGCTGCACAGAGCTCTAACATCAGAGTGGGTCGGGTCAGAACACTAAAGGTACTCCAGCTGTCTGACCCATTGGATTAACTTTTTAAGGGTGACTTTGTGACAACTTTCTGCTATTCCATAGCAGAAAAAATCAAAATGAATCCCAGGAAAAACAAGCCGTGGTTTCATGTCACCGCATCAAGTTGCTGTAGGTAAAAGCTTCCATCTTCCCTTAGCTGACACAACAAAGGGAGAAATGAGCGAGGAGCCAGATCAAACCTTATAACTTACTTATACTTTTAAACATAAACCAACTTTCTGACAATATTTAAGTAGAGAAGCAAGGGAGTTCTGCTACTGATGCAGATCCAGCAGCCTTGTCAGTTTTTGGAAGAATTTGTGACTTTAGATAATAGAAAAGCTCTGATGGTTAAAATATGTGTGAGTTCTCAGTGCAACTGAGAGATATCATGCCTACTATGTCTGGGACCTGTCTCAATCACAGGAAGTATTCAGAAATCCCCCAAACTGATACCATTCTACAAAGAGAAGCTCAGCTCTGGATTCAACAGAACAGACCGGTCCCAAAACACCTGCCAGTTTCACATCCTCACACTCCTGCCCAGGATGAGGAAAACACCCTGAAGCGTATCTGCTTCCACTACAAATCAGTGGGGGTCCTCGAGTCATCAGCTCTCCCTGTGTGATGATGACGATGAAACACAGTCCTGCTTCACCTTCAGGTCAAAGCCTCAGTCTGATCCCTCTTGGCATTTAGCTCTACTTCGCAGAGGGAAGCTGCTCACCGCTCCACCTGACGTTGACTTTCATCCGTCTCGGCTCAGGCAGAGCCGCAGCTTGCATCTCTGAGACCTGCTCTCCTCATGAACCTGTGAAGCTATGAAACTTTTTTCCTCTGATAGCTGGACTTTATCAAGTTTCCTCTTGAGAGAATGAGGGTTTGTCTGACAACACAGATTATCCTACACTGTCTTACAGGGGAATCTGTGTCTTTCCGGCTAAATCTCAGATGTCAGCAGGTCGTTGCAGTCCGATTCTCCAGAATCAGGGATACCATCCATGCTATGGACACTGATGCTCCCCTGTAGGCTTCAAGTTTGGGGATTTTTCCATCTTAATTAGCCTCTAATCCAAATATTTTGGTTTAGGAACACATTATTTGTAACTTGAAGTTGGCTGAGGATAATGCTGAAAATAATTTGATCTATAATACAGTCAAACAAATACATTTATATTTTGAGAAAATCTAAAACCTCTTATCCTATTCTGTTGTGTAGATTTTCCATCAATTGAAGGAACTTTGTAGACAGTCTTGTTGTCAGGGTTTATGGCCGTAAAACAAGAGCTCTGGTGATTCTGGTTCTTTTAGATTTGTTTATATTTTCTTAAAAATAATGGTGGTTTCCGTCCTTGGCCTTTCCGTCAGACTCCTTGAATCTTGTTTGGCTCAAAGTGTGACCCATGACCTATCTTTGTTATCACTATTCACAATCTTTTCTGGGACTGGGGGTTGCAGGGAATAAGTATTTGACATATAATAAGATTCAAAATCCTCTCAGGGTGGAAAGCAGAGGAGTGCCAACACTGTACGCCAACATGAATGTCTGAAAAGAGGCGATGGTTCATTTCAGCTGTGTCTTTATTATGCTGATAAAAAACCCTGATTTCCTCAAACCAGCCTGGCTGCGGCTCATTAAGACCCACAGAGGTAATTTGGGACCGGCTGCCTGGGATAAAGACACACAGAAAGGCTTTAACGGCCCAGATGTGCTCACCTGGAACCATTTGGCGTGTCGGAGTGCAGCCAGCGCTGCGCTGCACTTCCGCCCGTCTAGGGCCTCTTCCTCCTCCTGCTCCCGACCCAGACCTCCCCTCTCTGGAAGGACGAGACGGGACACACTAATTGTGAGCGTGCTGACCTCCCGCTCACACAGACGCAGGCAGCAGGGTTGGACAGCTAATCATTAGACAGACCCACTGATCTGACCGAATGAGCTAGGAGGGGAAATTTGAACGTTTGTGTGATTTTTCTGGGAAAAGAGGGATTCTCATGCACAAGGCAGGATCTCTGATAAGGCTGACAGGAGGAGTTGGAGTATATGTAAGAGCATGCGTCTCGCTGCCTGGCTGGAACCTCACTCTAGATGCAGATCAGTGGCTGAAGGCAATGGAACACGCCTGATTAGTGTGTTATCATTTGCGGCACAGGACGAAAATGAGAGCATGGCAGCAACTCAGGACCCCAAGCCAGATCACAGATCAAAACTATACTTTGAAGCAGAAACCCATTGGATGGAGTCAGAAAAATTGACCGAGTGTGCGGGAAGCAAACATTCGCTTTTCCCCTCAGGGTGAAAAAAAAGTCCTGCTCTGCAGTTTTCGTGGGCGCCATGCTAGTATTTTCACTCTGGTGGGGCAGGTCAGATGTTTATGTGTGACTGAGACAGTCTCTCCACACCAGGTTCCTGTGGGGAGTGCTCCTGCCATGACCGGAGGCTGAGCCATGGGAGGGCGGCAGAAGAAGAAGAGTGACAGCAGATGACAACAACAACATAAACATCTGAGAGTGAGAAGGCCACCCTGGAAAGAAAGTGAAGGCTGTTTGTTCTCGGGAGCAGCTAAAGGGGAGCCCACTGTGGACAAGCAGACAGACAGGAGGGGAACAGACTGCACACCACACCCCAAGCTCAGAGATGAGGGTTTGCAGCCTTTCTGAGCTGTAGTTATTCGATCCTGATTGATGCCCCGTCACAGGGGAATAAACATCAAGGTTCCAGGGTCTGATTCAGAGATTAAATCAGAGCTATTTTCTACTCAGCAGACAGTAATGCTGACAGAGAATCAGAAAAGCTCTGTTCATGGACAGGAAACGACAGCGTGGTCTCCAATTTCCGATCTCTGAAGTATTTAAACACCACTTCATCTGCCTGCGGTGGACAGGTCGGCAGTGAAAGGAGCCGGCGAGCAGCGTGTGTGGTTCAGCAGTCTGTTGCTGGACATTGAAAGCTGAACAGGATGGAAGAGGTGGAGGACAAACGAAGCAGCCGATCAGACCTCCTCCATGACCCCAGACTGAGGATCCTCATGGTCTGCCCCTGGGAAACTGTAATATGGCCATGTTTGCAAATTTAGAGGCAGCTGAAGCCCAACAGAAAACCGGGAAAAGAGTTTTACTTTGTCCCAGTAAGGGTGTTCCTAAACCTGCCGCCCGGGGATCCAATAATGAAAAATAGTGACCCAAACAATGTGAGCTATTACTTTTTCATCTGCAGCATATTATTTAACCTTAAGCTAGAGTTAAATTGCCTTCAAATACAATTATTTAGTTTTATGTGAAACTTCAAACTGTGAAACTTTAAAAAGAATTTAGAAATATTTGAAAAATAATACTTAATAACTAATATTTGTTTTGAAGTTGAATTGATGTACTTTTTTTCAAAACAAATGTTTTTCCTAAAAATAGATCTGAAATGTTGGATTGTTAAAGTATTTACTCTTAAACTAATTAATTATTTCATAAAGGGGACAAAATCATATATTTTTTTAAGTTGTAAGATAAAGCTCAAAGGGGCAAACTATGTTTTTTCTTCTGAGAATAATAATTCTCTACCTGAAACTAACTTATTTAAACTAATAAATTAGATCTGATTAGCTTTTGGTACAGCTCTATTGTCTTAGAATATAAATAGAGTAAAATAAAAATATTTAGAAAAATAAACACTAAAATGAGCAAAACGTTTTTTCAATGAGAATCTGGTGATTCTCTAAATATGATAAAAATGTTGCTGTTTTCAAAATGACAAATATGAGGGGCTCGTGGCTAAAACTTCCCCTTTAGTCTAACAGCAGAGACATACACAGATTCCAAACTTTAAATGATGAGTACTTTGATTCCTAATTTAAATTTCTTCCTAATGTAAAGAAATGACATTCCTCCCCTGTTTCATATCACCACAAATTTGTCTGTCTGAACTAAAAAGAACTATGTGTCATTTAAACTGAGGACAAGAGATGGAAATGAAGTGAAAATCTTTTCTAATTCTTGTTTTCTGTGATCTGTCCGGGGCAGACCATGAAAGAACCATCACATACAGATAAGGACAACCCAAAAAACAAAATGATCTTTTACTTCATCAGCTTGGGTAAATTTTAGTGACCAGGACGTTAGATTAATTGAATAAACACAATTTTCCCAACATGAAATTATGGGATGTCAATCTGAGCCAATACAAATCGGCGAGCCCCTGTAATTAGAACAAAGAGGTCAGGACCATGTGGGCTGATGGGTAATGTAGTCGTTTTGTCCTTTTAGTCTGTGTGCTCAGTGAGAGACATGGACCAGAATTTCATGGCGACCAGATTGAATAGGGAAAGGGAGGAAGTAAGTGTGCTGGTTTGATAGACTGGCTGGTGTTTGGGGAAGCCCCTTGTACCCGGGGTTTCCTGCTGCTGGGTTGGGGGGGCGCCTTGTCAGCAGAGGAGCCGCAGAAGTTGAACTCCACACAGCGAGTCGACCTGCGAAGCTACGGCAACAAAACCAACAGTGAGTGAGCAGAGGCGGGCTTCAGCAGGGAGGCCATAACAAAGAGCCAGAGGGGACCACTTACACAGTTATGAGCCACTCAGCAGAGAGATAAAAACATCCTGAATTATTTTTAAAAAGCCCCCGAGAGGCAGAACACTCAGGGCCGGGTTCTGAGAGCTTAATTTTTCACAAAGACCAGTAAAAATGACCTTTAACAGAAAAACTCCTGACACCTGAAGACAAAGTCACTGAGTTTCCATTCAGGCTAAATACCTCAGCTCGGTTAGCTGCTCCTCCTTCTGTTTGGTCCAGCTGAACCTCACCGTTTTGGTTTCATGGGCACAGTATTTCCTGCCCACGGCCGAGTAGAGATACAGAACCAGTCACTAAATGTCATTAGCATAAACTCCAAGTTCCAGTCCAGAAGCCTTCAAGGCTGTTTTTCTTACATGTTTAACTTCAATTAGCTCTCATACTAAAATGGACGTTTCAGTTTTGTGGGACATGTGAGCTCTTTAAAACTTTGGAATGATAGTCTTGTGTTAATTCTAAATGTATTCAGCACTACTGAGATTCAGAGTCTCTTTTCGAAAGAGTGTCTTCACAGAGAAAGGTTCAGAGTTTAAAATTCCAACCCAGAAATCAGGCAGAACACCTACAGGGAGCTGTTCTGGTTCTGATCAGAGGCTCACAGGTGGATGGAAAACCTCTGACTGCTCCATGCAACAGTTTAATCACTGTTTTGAAACCATTTAAATCATCCAAGTCATTTTCAGGCATGTATATGGATAAAACCAAAAGTAGGACACTTTAAAAAACAAGTTGAACAAATAAGAAATACACTTGACTGCATTCAAATGTTTTCAAAATAATTCACTGTTGTGGAAATTCATTGTTGTTTTACTTTAACTCATCAGTATTTGTCAGGAAGAGCTGATAAATTCAGACTTCACACATCCATGGGCTCCTGAGGATGAAGCCAACATGAAGCTGAAGGCAATAAAAAGATATCAAAGCTTGTCCACATTGCAGTTTCCACTGCCTGAGACGATGGCTGATACAAAACATCCACAAGAAGATCTGATCATAGTTTCCTGTCAGAGCTGCATGTCTCCAGGGGAGAGAACAACTGACGGGTGAGGAGGAGAAGCATTTCACTGAGCAGCATATCTGTCAACAAGGCCTCCTAAACTGATGAAAGTGTCACATCTGTGACTGGAGAAGCAACCGGATTCAAAAGAAGGCTCAGGCTCATTTTGTGCTGAGCACTGAAACGCCTTAGATTGAGTCTGAACTACCAGCTGGTGTCTGGTGTAAAGCTGTGTTATATTCCTTTTTTTCATTGAAAAGTGTTAGAAACATTTTTTCCTTAATGACGACTGAAGGTTTACAGCTAGCAGCTTAATGCTGATTTTGTGTGCGTGTTGGGGGGGTGGTACTGATGAATTCCCTGTTTCACAACTGTGAAACAAACATAGGGGAAACATGCAAAGCAGTGCAGGAAAACAGGGACAGATATCACATCCAGCTCAAGGCCTTCTGCAAAGGCCAAAAGCTCTTCCTGATTCCCCTGACTACAATGTGCTCAGCCTCCTGAGCTGTCCAGGGTACTGAACCAAAAGAAACCCCAGACATATCTGAGGGGTCTTTAAAACAAACACCAAAGTCCTCTGACACTAAAATTAAGTGTGGGTTCATCAGGTTAGGCTGCAAAGAAAGACCAGTGTCCAAACCAGCAAGTGTTATTGCAACTTAAGCTTTCAGATTTCGTAGAACTGAACTCTACAAACTTCTAGCCATATCTAGTCCGGATCGTGCTATCAGAACCCAGCCCAAAGCAGAGTTGGTCGGAATGAGAAAGCTCTTCTGCTCTAGCTCAAAGACAGTTAGAGGAACAGTAACAACCATAAAAGTCCTGAATAACACAAAGCAGCATACAAAATAATCGCTGACAGGATGGAGAAGAAATGATCTTTGGAGCTGTTAGGCAGCAGATTGTCAGGCCTTATTCTTTTTTAATTCCTCATCATTTGATTCCCATTTGAGGAAGAAGGCAGACAGAAAACCTGCGGGGTTACAGAAAATGAGGACTGGTTTTACTTGGCTGCCCAAAAGAAAGGGATCCCTGATACCAATCGGTCTCAGTGCCCCACATCAGAGGCGCAGGGTGACACAGACGTCTACTTTTTCACCAACCCAAACCAAACATCCCCTCTGGAAATCACCCTTCCAATTTATTTTCCGTTTTCATTACACTCGACCCAGATCTGTATCACCCCTTCTCCTTTTTCTGCTGCTCACCTCTCAGCTTTCAGCCTTTCTCATCATTCACCCTGATTTTCACACTTGATCTTCAGCCCTGTGCTCTCGCATTGAGGTCAAAGCCAAAACCTGGAGGTGCCAGGATTGTGGGTGATGAGTCTCTACCTTCTGTGGTGCTGGGCTCCTCCCTCATGGCTAAGGAGGACAGGGTGATCTTCAGAGTAAGCTGGGGGTCCCTGGTGCTGCAGACCTGGATGGCCGCCTCGGGCACGCACGACCGCACCTCATATTTTTCGTCCGTCATTGTCTGCAAAGCAGGGCTGCGCGATTAATGGAAAAATGAACATCCCAAAAAGAAACCACGAGTGCTGCTGCTTGGATATAACTCTGTGCTCTCTGGAGACTTGGTTTTTACATCCAGATTTATTCACAGCTGTCATTTTAAGTTCAACTAATCCCCAGTCATGATGACATAATTGGCCAACCAGTGTTGTATATTGTAAGTTATGTAAGTTAATTATTGATTAGGCTGTAATACAAACTGCAGGGAGACATATTTACTCTGGCAAATTGTGACAAAAAGATTAAGAACTACAGCTGTGGCATCATTTGACAGACAAACACTAAACATAAACAGAAATTTCCATTTAGCCTAAATATGTGTAACACACTGTGAAACAAAAATAACAGAAGACTAAAACAACACGATTCAAGTCAGTAAGAACAGGGAGGCTCAGACAGAGCCTCTGAGGGTGAAAGGACAAGTATTTTTTCTGCATCAGAAACATTCACAGAAAAACTGAAACAGCAAGTGTAAGTTAAACAAAGGGGTTTGACAATTTAGCGGAAAAGCTTTAAACTGTTTTCCACTGACTCTGTGTGCCATTGACATTAACGCTTTTAAATTCCTGCTATTTTTGCCTAAAACGCCTAAAAAACTAACCATGTTTCTGTGTTTGGACTTTGCCGTCAGAGCTTACTGTGTCTAAAGCTATGATTTAAAAAAAGCCCAGACTTTAGGTGAATTATTGGTGAAGGGTTATGACATTTAATCATTTACAGGTGTGAATCTCAAAGAATGAGAAGCAGAGTCGAGCCAAATAAGGAGATACTTTGCTCTTCCTTAAGACATTTGTCACCGTCTGCAGTGTAGCTTCCAAAAACGCTTGATTTGGTTCTCTGTGTCTTGTCCCTGTTAAAAACGAGCACATCCATCAGCCCTCTGCCAGTCCAGCCTTTCAGTTTGGCCCAGGAAATGAGAGCCTCGGGCGGCTTCCTCTTGGTGACGGAGCACACATTAATTAACCGAGAGGAGGGTAGGGGGAGCACATTAAGACTGTGAACCGCAGTGCTTTGCCGGTCCAGAGGAGGTGAAATGATTTGTTCCTCTGGGAGAGAACGACACTCCAAGCTCAGTTTCTGGGATGAGGCAAATCTAGTTTTAATAATAATTTTTTTTCAAAGAGTCTGTCACTGAACCAAAACCTGGGCTTTCATCTCGAGGAAACAGAATGAAACAAACCAAGTGTGGTCTCGGAAGCAGCCACTTTCCTTTAGAGCAGACCCACTTCATCCGTCTCTAAAAATAACCATTTCATCTGGTTTTAGAGAAAAGAAATCCTTCACCCTCACAGATGTCTTCATGGTAGTGAAGTTATATGTTTTGATAACCAAAATATAACCAGTTATATGTTTTGACTGCTTTGCTTCCCTCAATCCTTACCAACTAACTTCAATCATTTCTTCATCCAAACCATCAACCTACCTGTTGGACCCCATCCTGACTAGGCTGCTTAAAGAAGTCCTACCCTTAGTCAGCACCTCTCTATTACATGTGATCAATCTGTCTCTATCAACAGGCTATGTGCCACAGTACTTTAAAGTAGCTGTAATTAAACCTCTTCTGAAAAAGCCCAACCTGGACCCAGATGTTTTAGCCAACTATAGACCTATATCTAACCTTCCAGTTATCTCCAAGGTCCTGGAGAAAGCTGTCGCCAAACAGCTGTGCTACTTTCTACATAGCAATAGCTTGTTTGAGAATGTTCAGTCAGGATTTAGAGCTCACTGGTGAAAATTACTAATGACCTCCTAACTGCATCAGACAAAGGACTTGTCTCTGTATTGGTTTTATTAGATCTCAGTGCTGCATTTGATACCATTGTCCATCAGATCCTATTACAGAGACCGGAACATTTCATTGGCATTAAAGGAACCGCTCTAAGTTGGTTTAGGTCCTATTTATCAGATCGATTTCAGTTTGTACATGTTAACGATGAGTCCTCCATGCATGCCAAAGTTAGTCATGGAGTTCCACAAGGATCTATGCTCGGACCAATCCCCTTAACTCTATATATGCTTCCTTTAGGTAATATTATCAGAAAACACTCCATAAGCTTTCATTGTTATGCAGATGATAGTCACTTATATCTATCAATCAAGCCACATGAAACTCACCAGTTAGCTAAGCCTCAAATGGATGTTAAAGCCTGGATGATTTGTAATTTTGTAAATGTAAATGTACATGCAGTTATGTAGCACTTTTCTAGTCAAGCTGACAACTAAAAGCGCTTTACACTGCGTGTCATTCACCATTCACACACACTGGTTGCACCAGTGGGTACACCGGATGCAACCAGCAGGCAACTTTGGGTTCAGAGCCTGGCCCAAGGACTCTTAGATATGTGGTCTGGATGAGGGTCAGTGGTTCTACATAGAGTTGAACCACTGACCCTCCAATCAGTGGGCAACTGCTCTTTCCTTCCTGAGCCACAGCAACCCTATTTTCTAATGTTAAACTCAGATAAAACTGAAGTTATTGTTCTAGGACCTAAGCACCTCTGTTACGCATTAGAGATATAGTTTCCCTGGATGGTATCGCCCTGGCCTCCAGCACCACTGTGAGAGGTCTTGGAGTTTTCTTTTGTTGTTTAACTCTCACATTAAGCAAATTTCAAGAAGCGTCTTTTTTCACCTCTGTAATATTGCAAAAATCAGGAACATCCTGTGTAAAAATTATGCAGAAAAACTAGTCCATGCATTTGTTACTTCTAGGCTGGATTACTGCAATTCCCTATTATCAGGCTCTTCAAAAAAGGCCATTAAGACTCTTCAGCTGATCCAGAATGCTGCAGCGCGTGTTCTTACAGGAACCAGTAAAAGAGATCATATATCTCCTGTGTTAGCTTCTCTGCATTGGCTTCATGCAAAATCCAGAATAGACTTTAAAATCTTACTCACTTACAAAGTTCTTCATAGTCAGGCACCATCTTATCTTAAAGAGCTCATAGTACCTTACTGCCCCACCAGAGCACTGTGCTCCCAGAATGCAGGGTTAATTGTGGTTCCTAGACTCTTTAAAAGTAAAATAGGAGCCAGAGCGTTCTGGAACCAGGTTCCAGTTTGGGTTTGGGAGGCAGGCACCACTTCTACATTTAACAGTAGCCTTAAGACTATTTAAATAAAACTGAAATGAAATTGTGTGGTAAAACTGTCTTATGCTCTGTTTAGTTGATTCAAAAGCTGAATTAATTAAGATAGTTGGAGATTAACTAAACAATATAATTACACATCTAAAATTTATTTTTGTTAAATTAATCTTTTTATGCAACATTAGTCTGGATCTTCCAGGTTTTGGGTTTACTTTCAGTGTTTGGAGAATCCGTCTGTCCATCAAAGCGTTGTAAACCTTTTCTTCTCGCGTTTCTCAGTCGACCTAACCTCTCCATTATGTGACCCATATTGGGTGCTGTTCATGCTTTCAGTTCATAAATACAAGTTTAAGCAGAAGTCAAATGGCTCTTTGAAGCATCGCTGACTATTGGGAGGTATTTCGCAGTTCATTTGCACCTTTTCTTTTTGCAGCAGTTTTTTCTCATTCGGCTCATGAGGGGTTCTGCTTTCTCTGAAAGGCGCTCATAACTTGGACTTTCTGTGTTGGTTAAGTCTCTTTTCCTCACATGGGAAGAAGCTGCCTGGTAATTACCCATTCCTTATCATCAGGTTGTGTGGATCTTTCTGTGTGAACATCATCCCATCACCATCGTGAGCGTCTAGCTTCAGGATGTGTGCACGTCTTTTCTCTAATGTTACCAAACAAACTTTTATCCCTCATGAAGAGCTTAGGGCTGCTCCCAGTGGATAGTTTTCCAAAGAAGCCTGCCTCACAGGCGTAGCCACCCAGCAGCTTTCATGTCTCTTTCTGGTTGCAGAGAGCAGGGAAGAGGCTGACAGTACCTGGATCTGCAGGGGCAGGTTGGCACTGATGGTGTACAGAAGTAGTTTGGTGGGTTTCTCTCTACACATCAGCACCAGTGCCAGGTCCATGTCACCTTTGATCAGCAGGCCTTTGGCCACCAGGCCGACACGCGTTACCCCACACAGCGTCGATGTTCCATCAGAGCTGAGGGCAGATGGAGGACAGCCGGTTAACACACACTCTGATGTCAGCTGAAAGCATTTCTGCATGCACATCTATCGATCATTAACATTTAACAGCTTTGGATGGATCATGTCTGCTGTTCGTGCTTTGAACACAGAGGAGAAAAGCACCTGAACGACCCCTGAAAGGAAACATGTAATTATTGTGTTTTAATGCTGCAGGTAGAGGAGCTATCTGTCCGTGCATTAACAGAACATCTCTCTGTTTCCTGTCGTAGAGGGGGTGAGACACATTGTCCATGATGGACTGCAGTCCAGGCTTAAGTCCATCATGGACAATGTGTCTCACCCCCTCTACGACACACTGGCCCAACAGAGGAGCTCCTTCAGCAGAAGACTCCTCTCACCCAAATGCACCACAGAGCGCCACCGGAAATCCTTCTTGCCGGTGGTCATCAATCTGTACAACGCTTCCCTCTGAGAGTCAATCTTAATCATTGACACTATCCACCTCTCATTTTGTATATATCTAGCTATATTTATGAGGAATTTTGTATATATATATGTATATATGTATAGACATGTACATATGTATATGCCTTTGTTTTATTTTGCTTATGGAGCCTGTAACAAAAATAATTTCCCTCTGGGATTATTAAAGTATTTCTGATTTCTGATTCTGATTCTGATGGACTACGATTTGTGTGCACGGGAGAGCGTGCACTAGAAAAGAGCTATATCACTATAGTCCATTTAAATTGAGATTTATCATATTTCTGCATTCATATCTATTTCTGTACTGTCTTTAGTGATGATATGCGAGTCCAGGGATTAGTCAGGGTGGTTGTTCTATGATGAGTTTTTCAGGCCAATGTGCAACAGTTTCATACTTTGAACTAAAAGTTCAAAGTGAACTGCATCCGATGGTTGAATCAGTCAAAAGCAAAGCCTTTTCTTTTTATGATTGTAGAAAACGTTTCAAATACAACCAAAAACAATAACCATCTCAATGGACATTGCCTTGCTGGTTTCCAGCTGATAGCTGCTAACTAATGAAGAATGTTTCTAATCACTGAAGAAAAATAAAAAGAATCAGGCAGGGAGTCTTTTTAGCAGTCTGATGCAGAGCTGAACATCTTTTGTCATAACAGAATCATATAGGACTCACTTTGTCTCTGCAGCATCTTTCTCCTCTGTGTCGCTCTCCTTTGCCTCATTTTTAGTGGAAGTCTTCTCTGAGGACTGTTTGAGGCCGTCCATCCAATCAGAGACCTTCTTGAGAGCTCCCTCTACTGTGGACACCAGCGTCTGGACTGCCTCCAGCTCCTGCGGTGCCGGATAGATGCTGGCGTGTTTGGCCATGACGTGACGGTCGTCGTTTACAAATGATCGGAACGACCTCTGAGGACAGAAAAAGAGAGGGACAACAGCACCTCTAGCTTTACTTCCTTTTGAAGAATCAGAAGGCTGCCAATCCACCAAGCTGTAGGAAGGTGAACCCCACGCTCCCCTCAGATGCGTTAATCTGTGCATCTGAATGTGTGTGCCTGTTAAATTGCATGCACAGGTGGCAGCTGACCTTACCGCTCTTTGCCGCTTTTTCCTATCAGCTGCAGAGATTTCATTCCTATTTTCCATCCAGTCATCCATTTTCTATTCCCACTTCAGCCTACGCGGGGTCAGGGAGGCACTGCCTATCCCAGCTGTCACCACACCTGGAGAAGCCTAACAGGCATGTTTTCGGATGGTGAGAGGAAGCCTAACTAGAGCCCACAGAAAGGTTTGGGATTTGAACCAGGAACCCTCCTGGTGCTAAAGTTACACACAGGACCAGCAGGTGGTGGTAAGGCTCCTAAAGTTTGAAGATGAACTGACTGCCCAAAATCATGTTGGTGAACAGAGAGGAACTTTTGACAAATTTTTGTCAAAAGTTTGAAATAGAAATACACTCAGAAGCAGATTAAAAGACATTATTTTTTATCCCACTGAACACAAAAGGGACGGAGTGAGGGGCAGTTAATGCACTCTAAAATACACTAATCAACCAATCAGAGGCTTCTGATTGGTCTGTCTCAAGGACAGTCCCACCCACATGGATGTCATCATGCCTTTGATTGACAGCCATCATCAGATGGGGCCCAATCAGCATTATCATCAAAGAATGTAATAAGTTACTGAGCCAAATTCATTTCTCCACCACTAATATATAAACGTTACAACACCTTGTGATGTCCTATCCATTAGTCGCCTGTTCAGCCACAGATTAATTGTATCGCAAGACTACACAAACTCCCTTGACTCCAAAGCAAACATTCTTACAGCTGAATTACTCAGACTGTATAAAGAGGGTTGCAAGACCTATGTTTATGGAATTCATGGTCATAAAAGCCAAAGCTGTCAGTTTCCTTCCCTCTGAGCTTTTACTTGTGAATCATCAGAAGGTGAAAAATGGCTTCTCTCAAGTACAAAATCAGATTGATTTAATCTAAGAGCTTTGATCTCTGATGGGGAAATCAAATTAGATATCAGGAGAACCACTGTGATGGGTGGAAAAAGTTGATGTTAAAAATGAAATCATCTGGATGGGGGCTCAAACAGATGCCCATCCTTATGGTGTCTTAGGTTTTGTAACTAGTGGGCAGCATGGTAGACATTATACTCCTGTTATGAGGGATGTCCATAAATGGAAATAAACATTGGCACATCTTTGGCCGTGGTGACATTTTTCTCGACATGCTTGATTTGCGGCTTTCAGAAGATTTTCCATTCTTCTGTTTTCTATGAACACGTGAAGCTACGGAGCGCCAACGGCCGCGTTTTAAAGGTCATTTACAGCCAACAATCAGGAAGCTGGCTTCATGCTTCAAAGAGGGCTTATCTTCATTATCATTCATCATCAAAGCGGCGCTCGCATCGGCTTACGATGCAGAAACCAGCCCGAAAGCTGAGTCCAGACTCACACACACGCACACACACAGACTGGTGCGGTGTGGTCGGACACAGTCACTGTTATTTAACTCTAGCAGCCTGCCATTGAGTGTGTGTGTGTGTGTGGGTGGGGGGTTGCTTTTCCAGGACCGAGCGCATCCTTCTGCCTGCTGGGCGTCACAGCAGCTGTCAGTCCAAGGTCAGACTGCTAGCCATCTCAATCATCCCTCCTTTTCTCCCCTCTCCCCCCACAGCGTGGAAGCGCCCCTCATTACGGTGAGTTATTTATGAAGGTGCTTTATTAATTCATGCCCACAGATCTCTGGGGCTCGTGCTGCAGTTTTGGGGGTCATTCATCACGATGGAGCTAATCTCTCGCTGGACTGCCGGGAGCTGTGTAACGGCGAGTGTGGGCAGTGTCGACAACCATTACCCGCAAATGTACGCACAAAACATTAACACGATCGAAATGAAAGATTAAGACTTTCGCAGGGTTGGTGCCAATTTTGCATCCCAGCCCGGCTCATTCGTTTGTTTGTTAACTACAACACAGCTGGGAGTGCAGCCGCGAACAGCAATTAGAAGATAATGATGCTCACCACTTTAATTAATTACATCGCACAGTTTGGCCACCGGTGGCATTTGCTTTAATCTCTCACATGAATCAAAAATAATTCATGTGATATTTAGCTTTGTCTGCAGAAATGCTGCAAAAGGAGAAGAAAATGTGGCACCCAAAGATGCCAGAACAAATCTGACAATGACGCTCCACCAAAAGCAGAAGTTTGCTGCTAGATGGTATTTAAGTGTGTGTTAACACAATGCCAAGGAGGAAAGACATCAGCAATGGTCCTACAGTCTAAAAAGCGAGAAAACTAAGCTTTTGACCTTTTTTCTGTCTCAGAAATGGCTTTATAATCTCAGATAATTTAATCAGCCAGTGAAGAGAAGGGCAAGTCTCACTTACAGGTGACTATAGTAGTATTTTTTTCAGCATTAAACAAAAGCGTAAACTTAGACAAAGTCAAATGTTTTCACTAAACAAAATACATCTGCTCCAGCATAACATTTATTATGCGACTTTTAACAGCCTTAAATAGGAAGGTCACGCAAAAAATTCGCAAAATTTAAAGCCAGGAAAAAATATGTTTTGTTGAAGGCAAGAGAAATGCCCTTTTACAACAATCAAATTAGGCCCATTTGTACAGGTATGTGGCTCCAACAGTCGGGTCCTTGTTTATGTTAGAGGAATGTAACTTCCTCTAGTTAAAGACATGGCTGGTGTCATATTTTGTTATCCCAGTGGATAAAATACACAAACTTAAAATTAGTTCATAATCACCAGAAAGAAAAATGTGTTGATATTCATGTAGCAGGGCGGGACGGACTATTAAGGAAATGTCCTCAATGATGAGAGCATCTTAAGAATACTTCTACAGTTTTGAGTGTTAAAAGAAATCTAATAATTTACATTTCTATTTTAACACCAGCTCTCACTCATAAATCAGTCCCCAGTGATCAGCAGCTGTCTGGAGGCTGCTGATGCCAGTGTTAAGCATGCAGAGGAGGCTCACCATGTCCAGGCCGTGGGGGGGGTCTTGGGAGGGTCTAGGTTGGAGCCAGAGTCCTGCCTCTTTGCCTCTACATGCAGTCAGACGCCTCCCGGCTGTTGGCCTCTCGAGTCTTCCTGCAGAAGAACACAAACAAACATAATCTCCACCTTCACCTTCCTCAGTAAACATTCAGGTGGCACAGGTTCCTGCTTTTGTTGCCTTGGTGATCCAGCTCTAATCTTCGTATTTGTACAGTTTGTTGCCTGTGATGCGGGTTATCCAGGATTTAAAGCTCACTCTAAGCTGCTCTGAATAAACATCAGCTAAATGCTTCAAATGTGGTGCTGCATTATGAAACCTAAATGATAATCCCAAATGTCAAATTTCCAGCTATTGTGCCCCATCTTCCCCAAATATACATTCACAGATGTCAACGATGGGGTCTCTGAACAACAGCAGGACCAACAGAAACGTAAAAGACAGGAACTGAAAAACTGAACAGCTGGGACACTGAGACCTGAAAGCCCCCACCAGAGATCACGAGCTGGAGGAGATGCTCTCGGCATCTTGGGCAGGTTACAACAGCTGCTTTTATTTCACACAAACATCGGTAAATATGAACTTGGTCTTGGTCAGGGAATTAATCTGGAAATGCTGGGATAGGCTCCAGTTCCCCCCGCGACCCCATGAGGGAATAAGCGGTATTGATAATGGATGGATGGATGTACACAGTCCCTTGTTCCTGTGTGGTCTGATGCTGCTTGTAAAAAACACCCCAAAACAAAGCATCTGTCCACACCACAGACATAGGTAGGGCGTTTAGCTCAGTGGTGGAGCATTTGACTGCAGCTCAAGAGGTCCCCAGTTCAACTCTTGGTGCCCTAATACTTTGTAAGTCGCTTTGATAAAAGTGTTTGCTAAATGCATAAACATCATAGGTCTTTAACCAGAACGAGGAGCTGCTCATCTTTACACATCATGTTGTAGCTCCTTTTCAAACAAGGAGTAGTTTCCAATTTCTTTCCAATTTCTGAGAATTCCTGGGTTGCTGCCTTAAATAAATAATCATGCTGGAAATGTCACAGTTCTGACTTCTAACCTTTGGCTGGATTCTTGAACCTTATTTTGGGGGTAACTCCTGCTGTTTTCTGACTGAAGAGGAGGCATTTTGGGAAATCAACATTCTGTGCTTGTGAATTAGCAGAAAATGACATTACATGGAATGCATCATCGTATCTAACACGCTGCACCTGCTTTACAACTCGACCACAGATGGTTTAGTGGATGATTTGTGGGTGTTGTGCTTGAAGCAGCTGATGCAGCTTGAAGCTCTGTCTGCCGCGGACCACAGAGGTCTGATGTTCCCACTTCAACAGAATCACACAGAAGCCCTGTTCCAGCCCTCATTTCCTTAGAATTTGCATCTTTCACCCTTTAAAGTTTTACTGAGCAATAGCTCTGCAGGCTTTAAAAAGCTCTTTCAAAGTTTTTCTTTGGACGATTTCTGTTTTTCTCTCAATTTCAGTCCAAACCTTGTTGCTGAGCATTTTTAGAGAAACAGTTTATTTTATTTTTTATATGTGACCTATGAATCATGCAGACAGAGAAAAGACCCGTAACTCAAGAAGTGAACCAGTGATGTGTCTGTACAGAAAAGACAACTCAGCATTGACGCAGTTTGAATTGGAACCTTAGGCTTTTTGTTACTGTAACAAACGAGGATGGAATGGTCAATAAATAAAAAATCCAAACTTCTTTATCAGTTTGCTTGCTTGCTTGGGCAGAATCCTCACAAGTGGAAGCTTTGACAACATTTTACTTCAAATTAGGCTTTCCTGGATTTTTCTACTCAATAAACTACTCCTAGGGACATTTTAAACTGAGTTTGCAGGCGCCATCCAGTCATGTTCATGTTGGATCTGATGGTACATTGTGTTTCATATGTAGAGTTCATGCAGAAAATAAGGCATCCTTTAACAAAGAGCTCTTTGTTTCTGCTGCTGTGAATCTGATTAAATGTAAGCTCACGCTAACATATTAATTCAATTACTCTGAGCATTTTCTCTCCATTAAATGCATTAGATTGCGCAGCAGTATCCCCCCCTACGCGGTCAAATGCTAATGAAAAGTGAGCGGGAGCTTGTGG